GTAAACTGATTTCTTTGAAAGAGAGCTTTTCATATACAGTGGTACCTCTGGTTAAGAACTTACCGGTAATTTGTTCTGGAGATACGTTCTTAACCTGAAACTGTTCTTAACCTAAGGTACCACTTTAGCTAATGTGGCCTCCTGCTGCCGCCGCCGCACGATTTCTGTTCTCATCCTGAAGTAAAGTTCTTAACCTGAGGTACTATTTCTGGGTTAGCGGAGTCTGTAACCCAAGGTACCACTGTAAAACCTTAACCAGTACAGAATTCTGGCACACCATTTGTGACAAGATTGGTGGGGGGCACAATAATGAAAGTGTAAAAGAATCTATGTACAGCAGCAGCAGCAGCTTACAGTGAAGCTTGTTGGAGACAGCCAGCATCAGTTAATGATGCTCAGTGGATGAGAATCTGGTACCCATACTGGACAGCAATGTAAGGTGACAGAGAAGGCATGATATCGCAAATCTGTATTGTACATATGTGAGGCTGCTGAACAGGTAGCAGTGCCTAGCATGGGTCACTAGCATCACAGATCACAACCAACCTTAGAATCATTAAGCTGCTGCAGGTTTCCATAGTGCTGAATTAACACCATAGGAGCCTGTGGGTGTTGAGTGGCTACAAGGATGAGTATGATATGGTCTCAATGATCCAATCTGAGCCTGTTCAGGAACTATGTGCTTTCACAGTCCAGAATTGCCAACTATCATTCTCGCAGAAGTGCCAAATCCCCCTCCCATGTAAATTTACCCACCAGTGCCTGGAAGTTACTTTCAGGAGTCCTTTCAGGAGCTGGTCCTACACTCAAGTAGGACCCTGGCAGAGACACATGCCCGACTGGCATATTCTGTCCTTCCTGGTCGATCGTTCGGGAGCTTCAAAAGCTTTCTTCAACCCGAACATCACAGCGACCGATGCCAACAGACATCGGCACACTTAGGGATCCGCAGAGTCTTCGCAGCTTGCGTAACAGAACTCAGCAACACAGCATTTTGACTAATCTAATTTATTTACATGTAAACACACATGGAGCACTGCAACATGGCTCCCTCTCTAGCATCAGACAGCAAAAAGAAAAAGAACAAAGGACAATAGTCCCACTTCACGGAACAGAGTAACACAAACATTCTGTCTCTGTCACTCCCCACTTTGTGGAGTCAAAACATACACCGTCATGTGATAGACAAAAATCCCATGACTGCAATCATGGAGCAGGAATTCTAACAGGTCCCAAGTTAATCCTAAACATATCCAATGTTGAAAGAAGATCTCCAGTAAAAGGTCTAGAAAAGTCTGATACTGTGGTCAGAGCAGACAATATGGAGCTACACAGTGCTTTTTTTCTAAGGGGACGCAGGGGTACGCATACCCCTAAATATTTTGTGAATCTAAGTTTAGCCTCATTGAGGGGCAGTATTTCAATATGAGTAGGAAAATGAGAGTACCCCTGAACATTTTTTAAAAGAAAAAAGCACTGGATCGGGCACAAGGATCGGGCTCATTAAAAGGGTGCTTCATGTTTACATAAAATAAGATATAAGAAAGTTACTCCTTAATACCACTGGGATTAGCAATGAGTAGTTGAGATGCATGATACCATGTAGAAGGAGTCTACAGCAATATCTATATATGTGTATTATTGCAATGAATTTTTCCAGTATAGTTAACCATATAGCCTGCCACATTTAGCTTCAGCAAAAAAGAGTACAGTATTTTAGAGGGCCAGAAGGTGAATTTTACTTATTCACAGAAAGGGGCAATTATGGGTCTACAAACTGAAAATTACCAAGCAGAACTTTTCAAAAAGCAGTATCAGAACAACTAGAAAATAGAAGTGCCCATTTAGTTTCAAACTGTTATTTGAGATACATGCTTTGGGGGGGAAATTAAAAGCAACAGAGAAAAGGGTTTAAAATAGCAGGAATGATTCAATGTTTGACATGATTGCCTAAACTCCAACCAAGAGTGTAAAGTGTCCTTTAACTCCGTGGAGAGCTTTATCTTCTCAAATTTTTCATTACTTTATAGCTAAAGATGTCTGAATCAGTCCATACTGCTTGATTAATCCCTAGAACACTATCTAAGCTACAACATTTTGTTTAAAAAATTCCATTAGCTTTCACAATTATGCTTGGCTCTTCAAGGAAAGGGATGAGAAGTGAGCAAAGCCTGCATTTTCTGGTTAATGACAGTAAATTCCTTTAGAAAGGAAACATACATGAGCAGGAGATTGGAAAAATAAACTTTTTCACAGCAGATCTCTAGATGATAAGAGTGGCCCTAACTTTTTATTTCTGTGAAATCCTCTTGCCTCCCTTGGCAAAAGGACCGGGGGTCAGGGTGGGAGGGTCAAAGGCCAGACTGTCACCAGACTGAAGAAAGGAGCCATGTGCACTGAACCCCCCCTCTACTTCTCCCCAATTTGAAAGGTGATGAATAATTAAGGAAGCAGTTTGTTGGGCAATTGAATATTACCTGCAAAGTGCCGCTCATCTCCTTGAGGCAAACTGAAAGCTGACAGAGTTGAGCCAATTAGACTGACTGTCTCCTCAATGAGTTGTGACCTATCAATGGTAATAGCTTATTATGATGATAAATGAACCCATCTCTCAAACTGAAGCCCGAGTACACACTTCAGCAGTTTCCCTGAATCATGGGGCCATTACCTCACAACTCTGGATCGACAGGAGCGACAGCAACAAGAACAGATAAGACGCATGAATAGACACAGATGATTGTTTTACGCTGCTGAATATATTTACAGTTATTTCTGGGGGAGGCATTCTTCTTCTTTTCCTTCTTAATGGGCCTGCCTGAGCATTCCCTGTTTTCACTGGCAATATATGCACTCACACATACATATACATTTCTCATGCTGTGCAAACACTATGCCTATCCCATGAGACAGCTGGATGGATTTCTGATTGGTATCTACATGCCTGTTCAATCTTCACAGTCTCAGAGGTATTCAGCATTCGATTACTGCAGAATATCCTCCAGCCTGGCTGAAAAAGTTTGCTTTACTTCCTTTTAATCCAATTAGTGCCTTTAATTGCTCTGCCAGAGCTAATCTTCCTTAGGAAAAGTGAAAAGAAATGGGGGTGGGGATTGCAACATTAGCCTAAACGCTTTCCCCATGACTTCAACTTATATAAGTTTCAAGACATTTAAAGCAATTGAACAAAAAACAAAAAAGGAAAGAAAGAGAATTCTAGGTCCACAACTTCGACTTGCACAAAAAGTTTCTTGACAACAGTCCAAACAAAAACTTCCACCAACTGGGAAATCATGCTGGGCTTGTTTGCGTCTTTTGAAACTGAAGGATACTGGTGCAATAACAGCTATGCCCATCTTTATATCCCCAATTCTTACTGTCTTTTGATGCCTGCCTTCACATTCCCTCTTTTTATAAGTAAAATATAACAGAACAAAGACTGTGTTGTGGCTACCCTACGCTTTATGCTGCCGTTATAGCTTGCTGCCGTGTTCGTGCTGTGAACATGTAATGTTTGGATGACACCTACATATTTTTAAACATAATTGTATATGTACCAGAGAGCTCCAGTCAAATTGAAGCTCTGTACATGATTAACTGGATTAAAGTGTGTAAATGCTTAAGGGCACACATTTGTCATGTACAATTTATGCAGTTCTTGATGAACACAGGATTGCTTTGTAAAATATAGAGGCATCTTTATATATACACACTACAAAGTTTTATAGATATACGGTATACTCCAAACATATAATACTCCAAAGTTTGTTCCAAAGCTGTACAACTATTTTGGCCTAAGGGATTTATTTACAACCTTTTATTTTAGTTTTTTGCAAGCATCTGAATAAGACATTTGGAAGGAGACTGAAGATCATCCATTCCAATCTCTGATCTATAGTTTGGTTCTCCTCTTACAGTAAACAAGGAAATGGCTCACTTGAGGGATATGGAGTCTCCCCATACACCAGGCAATTCCTCAGAGTGTTACTGAGGCTACCACCAGCTTTTAAAAATACCCTAACCCAGTGGTTTTCAACCAGTGTGCCGTGGCACCCTGGGGTGCCTTGAATGATGGTCAGGTGTGTTGCAGGCAACACTGGCCTTTGTCCCTCTTTCCTTCCCTCCCTCCTCTGATGCCTTCTCGTGTCTCCGCCTCCCAAAGGCTTGTGGAGCTGTTTGTTGCAGCAGCCCTGGCTACAAGCTCCCCAGGCGAATGGTGCCTCTGGGGCTGGCCAGGGGTTGCTGGTTGCCAGGAGCTCGGAGTAAGTAAGTAAGTAAGTAAGTAAGTAAGCAGGCAGGCAGGTGAGGAAGCCCAGCCAGCCAGTTCACCAGCCTTTGCTGTTGGGAATGGACAAGCAAGTCCCAGGCTTCTGTGGGGCAGTGTGAGGAGGCACCTCTCTCTGAGGGTAGGGTGGGCAGCTCAGAGACAGGGTTGGTGGCGGTGGCTGCCTGCAGGACTCCCAAGGAGAGGGGAGAGGAGAGGAGAGGAGGCTGAGGGAACACTTCACAAGAGCATAGCTGTCAATTTTTCCCTTTTCTTGCGAGGAATCCTATTTGGAATAAGGGAAAAAGGGAAACGTTGACAGCTATGCACAAGAGAGTTCGAAAAAGGGTGAGAGGATGCCAGCTCTGCAGGCAGGGAGTGACATAACTGGGCTCCTGAGCCCCACAAGGGTGCCACAGAAAGAATGTAGTTGGTCAAGGGAGCCAAGGACTCAAAAAGGTTGGAAACCTCTGCCCTAATCATTCCCATCCCAATCATGAGCTGCCTGTGTGGAGGGAGACACTAAGATGAAGGAATAAGCACTTTGACCAGGGATGGGTTCCTTTATTTATGCAAATGACTAGTCTATCAGCAAGCCACATCTAAAGTCTAAAGCTGAACAAGGGCACAATCCTTTATGAACAAAGCTGAAAACTCAGGGCACACTCCTTTATGAACAATGGCAAGGAGGCCATAGTGCTTGTGGGGTGCTGGAATGTCTGTTTATGTTTGGGGAAGCGCCATAGTTCAGTGGTACAGCATCTGCCTTGCATGCAGAAGGTCCCAGATTCAATCCCCAGCATCTCCAGCTAAGGTTGGGAGAAAGCCCTGCATGAAATCCTAGACAGTGTAGGCAATATGCAGCTAGATGAACCAATGGTCTGACATAGTGTATGGAAGCGTCGTATGTTCCTGTGAGTGAGTTGAGGAGTTGTGTATTATTACAACCTCTTGTAAGCTACTTCAACATATTTTGATTGAAAGGTATAAGTCTTGGAAGGAAATGCATACACACTATGGTTTGTATTCAGTGCAGAACTAATGAAATATTTCTGCTTGCCTGACAGAACGCTCTCCTTTCCTCTTCTAAATCTCCAGAGCAGGTTTGGGGGGGGGGGGGGAGATATGGTGGCACATGGTGGGAGGAGCGGGGAGAAGTACCATTCTGCTAGCAGGAATGGTTGCACTAGCTTCTGCTAGTACAGCAACTGAGTTGAATTTGGCCTGTAATGTTTCAGTGCAAGGACCGCAAACAGGGATGGAATATAAATTCTTGATGATTCCCAACATTAGGTATAGCAATAATGGAAGAGGAGGTGTCAGAAAAATGGACGGTAAGGTCACAAGCTACTGTATATTGAAAACTTATTCTGTGCTACCTTAGGCAGCAAGTCTCAGAAAACCACACATACAATGGAGATTGTATTTGAAGCACTGCAAGCAAACATCATCTAGAAAAGCTGGTTTAATCCAGTTTCAGCTATTTAGAGAAACGTTTTATTGAGTTTACAAATAATAACCCTCAATATTCCATTTCCATAGCAATGCACTAAATCACCACAGCTAAGTATGTCATCATGGCTATAATTTACATGATGCAACATGACAGTTAAGATGTACTATGGTAATTTGTGAGTGCTTTCAGTATTACTGTAGTATCAAAAATTTATATGGTTCAGTTATTAAGGCAAATTGTTTCATTCATACAGTGATGTCTGACAGTAAACCATAAAGTCCTTCCAAATTACAAGTGGGGAAAAATGCCTTCCATGTTCAGACAAATTGCACACATTCTTTCCATTATTTTGCTTCCTAAGTGGGAAAAGATATCTGCAAAGTATCTGCCAAAAGCACAGGAAATGTTCATTGCCTAAGAGCAAGCAAAACGGACCCTGCTCATACCAGACTTGAGTCTCCTTAACAATCTATAGTCTTGAACAATATGTCCATATTCTTTCAAAGAGATGCAGCTTAATCTTTACTTGCTCACTTACCTTCTGTTACACAGATTTCCAACCAAGCAGAAAATGCTAAGCAGTGAAGCCTGGTGAAAGTAGCCTGGGATATCTTCACAAAGTTTCAAATAAACTATACCACAAACAAGACAGTGCAAGACTAAACATATCAAAAGCTCCTGCTTGTTTTACAGCTATTCAGATTCCAGGCTTTTTCAGTACCACGACCTTTCAGTACCACGACCAATTTTTCATGTGCTAGCTGCCACAGTTCACACAAGAGTACTCTAATATGTACACCAATATTCTATTCTTAGGCATAAAATGTCTATGTTATGATTTAAAACCCTAATACAAAAACACAGTAACCTGACAAGGGTGGTACTGGTGGGAAAAGTGCCTCCATAGCTCAGTGGCAGAGCACATGACTGGCAGAAGTACCAGATTTAATCCTCAGCATTTCTAGTCCGAAGGATCAGTTGGCAGGTGAATTAAGAGGTCCTGCCTGGAGATCCACTGCCAATCAGAATAGACAATTACTGGGGTAGATTGACCAATGGTATGGCTCAATCTGAGGAAACTTCATAAACTTCCATAAGATGTATGGAAGTGAGAGCTGGACCATAAAGAAGGCTGCTCGCCGAAGAATTGATGCTTTTGAATTATGGCGCTGAAGGAGACTCTTGAGAGTCCCATGGACTGCAAGAAGATCAAACCTAGCCATTCTTAAGGAAATCAGCCCTGAGTGCTCACTGGAAGGACAGATCCTGAAGCTGAGGCTCCAATACTTTGGCCACCTCACGAGAAGAGAAGACTCCCTGGAAAAGACCCTGATGTTGGGAAAGATTGAGGGCACAAGGAGAAGGGGACGACAGAGGACGAGATGGTTGGACAGTGTTCTTGAAGCTACAAACATGAGTCTAACCAAACTGTGGGAGGCAGTGGAAGACAGAAGTGCCTGGCGTGCTCTGGTCCATGGGGTCACAAAGAGTCGGACACAACTAAACGACTAAACAACAAATGGCTCAATCTGAGGAAACTTCATAAGCCACTTTGAAATCAGTGAGTGGGGCCTTGGCTTCACTTAAAGCAGTGGTGGTGAACCTTTGACCCTCCAGCTGTTGCTGAACTACAATTCCCATCACCTGGTCACTGGCCATGTTTGCTGAGGCTGTTAAGAGTTGTAGTTCAGCAACAGTCAGAGGTCCGAATTCCCCCATCCTTGACTGATTAATTAATATGCAGTTAAGTTTTCTGAGCAACAAAGTAAGTTCTAGTCTTCTGCAGGCGCCTATGTTTCTGCAAACCCAGGGCATAACCTTAAGTATATAAAAATTTTATTATTTTATTATTATTTTTTATTTATTATTATTATTATTATTATTATTATTATTATTATTATTATTACTATTATTTATACTATAGATTCAGTCAAGCAACAGACCCCACAAGAAGGTTGAGAGCAAGCCTGGGTGACTTGCATTTTCATTCTTGCTCTATATTGTTTTTTTAAATATGCCCTGGGGAGCACTCCATGATTTCCTAATACACAGATATCTCCCTCATTTTCCGCCTTCTCGCGATATCTGGATTTTGCTGCTTATTTGGAATATTTGAAGAAAACGAGATTGCCTATGCTCGTAGAATGTGTGAGTTATCTGCTGAACTTGCAGGAATTGTTTACAATTCCCCGCCATTCAGAACATATGATGGGTATATCCTTTTAACATGAGTGGGAAGAGTAATCCTATTTCATGGAAACTTGCCAACTCCTAAATGTTAAGCAGATGTGTGTCAAGAAGAAATTCTCCACATGTGTGGATTATCCTGCCACTGTAGCAGCATGGTGAGGAAAGTCTCACCTCCTAGAAATACCCCTATTAAAAGGATCAAAAGCTCACTTAAGGTCAAAAGTTGGCATTCCAGGGAACCATGCATGCCTCCTCAAATCCAGTGGGGTTTTAAGTTGTGGGTTGTTCTTTTTAAAAAAGTAGCAGTCTTCTGAGCCACATGGCAAGTAACTTTTGAAAAATCGGGAGTGGCTGGAACTTAAACCATAATATTATTTACCCGAGGACTATCTGTGCTTTTAGGCCACTGTATATGTCAGGTGCAAGCAAACTACCTGGATTTGTTTGCCTGTTGTACCACACCGTTGTGGTTTTATAAGTTGGTGCAGCCAGAAGTGGAGCTATATATCCCAGAGATATAGGACCTTTGAAGATGGGTCAGCTTGTAAGCAACTGTGTGGTTTTAAACACGGCAATGAGGCTTGTAAACATTTTAGCAGCACACCATCTCTGGAATCCCAAGGTATAGCTCCCGGCACTCAAGTTTCCCACTAAGCAATACACGTTTTTTCCCCTAGCACACCCCCTCAACATCTGATCTGCTGTCAGCATCTGTGTAAACTAAGTGGGAAAGAACCAGTGAAATGTGAAGGTGTGGTAAGGCAGATAAGACTGCTTGAAAGAAACACATGTTACTCGTACAGAATAGACCACCAGCCAATTCATCCTAGAAATAATACTGCAAATTATCTGAGCTTTCCTAGCACCTGACACCCAAAGCTGCCAGGAGGCCCCGGGAGCAGCAGCGCTTTGCTTAGCTTACTTACCCTTTGCCTTGTGTCTCATGGGGATTCTCTGTATGCCTATGTCAGTTGCTTTCAGCAAGCAATTTTGCTGGTCAAATATCTACCCCGCAAATGCAAACTAAAAGAAGAATAATTGCTTACATCTTTCGCTATTAATAAATCAAATTAACACCCAGGCAAAGACCATCTGCACTTACTTTGTTGCCCAAATAAGGACTGGGTGCACTCCAATAATAAATCTGCTGCAAAGCAGTCCTCGCAGCCACGTTGCTGATGCTAAGTTGCTGAGGTCCATCAAAGCTGTCCTGCTGAGGAGTCACTCTAGCGCGACCAGCTACATCTGTCAGGTGCCAGCCATTCATGTCCATGATCTATGGTGACAAAAGAAAATACCTACTAATATCCACATACTGAAACCTACAAAATCTATATTCCTTCCTTGTTTCTTTTTGTTTTCCTATTCATAATTTAAATAGGTTTCCATTTAGCACAGAAGCAGAGAGTTTGTCATATTGCATAAAATTATGAATAGAGGAGTTCCCTTCTTTCCATATTCAGTGAAATCAAGAGGAGCATAAGTTTTAGAATCATTTATTTAAAGTCATGATTGGTTCTCTTCAAAGAGTTTTTAATTCTTATGAGTTCAAAGGGCTCACTCCACACACACCCCATTTGAAGCTGGTAACAAATTATGAATGAATACTGCAGAATGTATTCCTTAACTGTAATTCTGCATGTGCCAACTTCATGAGAAAGGTAGTCAAATTATATTTAATGCCTTGCACTGAACAACATATTAGATGCACCTCCTTATGATAAAATTAGGCAGCCTCCATAAAAGAATTTTCAGACCATGAGTATGTATAGCATAGGGAAGGAGAATGTATCACCTTGCAACAGAAGGATTTGCAAGACAAACTTCTTAACAAGGAAATTGTAAGAAGAGCTGGAAGGTGAGCAGCTTCTTAGGGAGCTGCATGCACTTGGAGGTGGGCCACTCAGACCAGAATCTTGGCTGCAATCACGGCATCCAGTGAAGAAAAGAAGGAAGGAATGAGCCCCCACAATAAAATGAGACAAGACTTCAGTGCTGCACTGAAAGCAATACTTTAAGATCCAGAATGTTTCAAATGTAAAGACTCTTCTTCAGGGCAACTGGCATTCTCTTCAAAGGATACCCAGAAGTCTCTTCAATGGTAGCTAAGAGAAGCTGATTTCTCTCAAGTTCCAGGATTGAGAAAGAGGGAGCAATCATAACCATCTGATTTTATTTATTAAAATAGTCATATCCCACCCTTCTGATGCAAAAGCACCATTCAGGACATCTTGCACCTGAAATATCTCCCTCCAGTGTCAGAAAGGGTAGGTTAAAAACACTTTCCACTTGCTAGATTGGAAACCTTTGGTACAGCGAGGAAAAGGCTTAGAAAACCCCAGCTGTAGTTCACTGGATGGGGTTTGATACAGGTCTCTTGGGGGCCAATGTTACCTAGTCCTCTCTCTATATTAGAGGTATTCCTAAATGGAATGAGGACAGCTCCCCATGTCATGTGAAGGGTGTCTGTGACCGGGGAACCCACCCATTAAAAACTTTCTGCCTGGCTGGCTCACCCCTCTGTGTGGTTGAAACTCAGCTCATCATGCCCTAGTCCAGCTATCTCTGGATTTGTTAATATTTCCTCCTGAGTTGAGGAGGACTCTAAGCATGATAGGAATGAGTGCCTGCTCTGCACTTTTTAAGCAAGGTAGGCTGGGTTTAAAACCTATTCCCTGGCTAGAATCATAACGAGAGGGCTATGGTAGCTACTCCTATCCCTTTGCCCCCCAAACAGCAAGGGATGCAGAACCCTGTCTGTATCACAGGGGAGAGCATCTGTGATCTCCAATACAGTAATGAGATGAGCAAGGGTTAGATCTATTCCAACCCTTGCTAATCTTTACCGCCGGATGTAGGTTTTATAATTAGATTGGAGGAGGCTTCCCTTCTTGGGATGTAAAACTCCACCTGCATTGGAAGCGAAAAGGTCTGCGATGCAGCAAGTCCGTAGTTCACACGCTATGCTATAGAAATGCAATTGGGACCCAAGGCAGTGGTCTATCTAAAAAACTACTGTCTCACATCCTAATGTTACTATCATCTTTCAAGAGGTGCCATAATCTTAGGAGTGAATTGTGGAAGCCATGCCAGCTTCTGAACTCAACTCCAAACAGAATGCTATCGTTTCACTCCCTGCTTTCAAACTCCATGGAGCAGAACAAAGTAATTCCTGCTATCCTTAGCTCACAGCCCTGATATTTAGAGATGGGCAAGCACACTACTGCTTGTTCAAAAAATAAACTGGGCTTCAGTAGCTCATTGCCTCCCTCTGAGTCTCGAAGCTTGCTCTGCTTCCTTGCCTGTGCTTCAACAACAACATAACTTATCTTGGAGGAAGAATATCAGAGGGCAGTAGAATGAGACAGAAAGCAGAAGACAGGAGAGAGGGACAGGAGACACCCTATTAAGGTCTTCTCTTTGGCTGCACATGACATATTCCAAACTCCAAGTCACATGATCCTGGGCAGGAAATGATGCATGGAGGGCATAATTTGGACCTGAAGGGGCCTGCAGTGTTCCTCATGAACTGACAGGAAATAATGTGTAGCACATATAAATTGACTGCAGGACCTCTCCTGCCTGTGCCTCCTTTTCCCAAGTTAAGGATAGTTTGGGGAGGGGGAAAGACTGGCAGGAAAGGTAGGGGGTGTGTTGCAGGTCCTGAGCCTCAGTTTAAGCATAAAAAGGTAAAGGTAAAGGTACCCCTGCCCGTACGGGCCAGTCGTGTCCGACTCTGGGGTTGCGTGCTCATCTCGCTTAAGAGGCCGGGAGCTTTAAGCATAGCTCAGCTCAAAGACAGGTGGACCCAGCTCAAAAGGGCGCCAGTCAATTCAAGCCAGGGCCCTTACATTTTCAACCACCCTCCATTGCATTTCACACTCACCTCATCCCTGCAGATATTGCAATTAGTGGGGAACACTATTAAAAGATGAACAAGCTATTTTCTTTCTATTTACCAAAATCATGAAACAGACAATTTCCCAAAAAGGGAAAATGGTGGGGTTTTTTTTTTTACTCCTCTAAAATAAAATACAATTGTGAAACATCTCACAATGCCTCAGCTATCAAAGTAGCTTTGTGTGTCATATGTTGTGCACCCCTGCTGTAAGGAGCTCAGCAGTCTCCTTCAGCACAAAAGAATATAATAGGAGTTTAGCAGACTATCAGATACAGGTCCAACTGTTTAACAGTCCCTTCTCAGTTTTCTTGCTCAACATAATATCAAACATCAATTCATATTTAAGAAGAGCACATGGGATGCCCTGGGAAACCTCTGACATTATGGAATTCCCAGGCAAATTGTAAATATGCAGGCAAGCTCAAGGCTGATCGCTTTCGGGTGAGTGGATACCATCAGAGTTGTGAAACGGCTCAGCTGCGAGCTGAAACAGATCCTGGTTACAGAGTTCACCCAGCAGGCATCTCATATCACACACATACAAAACAAAATTACAACACATAGTTCCCTCTCCAAGCCCAATCAAACTGGAGAATTGCTATTTCAAAGTAG